TCGGACCCCAGCCCTGCACATACGGTACAGACCACTGCTCACCAGTAGCGCACGATGCCGTGGACACCAAACTTGGCCGTCCTCGAGCAGCTGTCGAGCTCGCATACGACCTTGACAGCGCTCGTTTGTCGCCCGGCCTGCTGCACCCGGTATCTTCCCTTCTCGCTCTCGCTGGACGCACTGCTGTGTTCGACCTGGTTCTTCTTGTGGTGTTTGAGACTGCCCTCGTTGAATGCGTTCGTGGTAGTTGAGTCTTCCTGTGAGCTCATCTCAGCGCCGGAGGCCATTGTTTCTGCTGGCTTCCTCTCCGACCGACCTCCGCCATCTGAAACGACTGGTGCCGTTTCCGGCTGCTTGCCGACAACCTGTTCATCCGTTGTTTCGGCCATGGCGGCATCATTGCCGCGAACTTCGGATGCAGCGCCTTCCGCGGACGGTTTCTTACCGGCTGCCGGCAGGATTTCGGTCGGAGTGAGCTTGCGCCAGGAGGCTTTCGACACCGGCGATCCTCCACCACGAATCGAAGTTCCGCCGCTTCCGAGGCCCTCCTCCTCGCTCTCAGCTCGGGGTGCAGGAGATGCGGTGGCTTCGATGACTTCCCCGATCTTCAGCCCCGCTGCCGCCGCCGCCTTCCGCTGTGCCCGGAACCTCTTGTTGATCCTGGCCTGCTCCTCCTTCTTCTCTTTGGTCATCCACTGCGCGGTCTCGCCGGCCATCTTCCCTGAAGCCTCTAGGACCTTGCGGGACGGGACGCGCGCTCTACGACCGGAGCCACTTGCTTCTTCGTGCGCGGACTGTCTGGCACTTTGCAGGAGCCTCATGTCGTCGGATGGGGCCAATGCCGACTGTCCTGCGGTACGCAGATGGGATGGAGACGCTGCAGTGTTCTTGTTCTTCTTCTTGTTCGTGGGTTTTCCATGACTACCGGAAGAGCGCTTTGTCCCTTCCCTTTTCGCCTTCTTCTTCTTCCTCTTCCGCTGCTGCAGACTGCCTTCCGCCGATCCGGCCTGCTCCTCGCCATCGTGCCCAGAGTCTCTATCTGCCAGATCCTCTTCGACTTCGCCGCACTCACGACGTTTCCTGTTGAACATTCAAGGGAGCCAGCGGGTCATCCCGTAAGCCAGAAAAAACATCACGTGGGTATCCAATTGGAAGCTCAGCATTGCAACGAAGGCGAGGCAATCGTGAACGCTGCTGCACGGCGTTATCCCCCAGCAGCTTGTGTATCGCGTGAAACAAATCGGGACGGCACTCAATCGTCGTGATTGGTCGAGACACACAAGACCCCGTCCAGTAGAGAAACAAACGAAGTCAAGCAAGGTAGTGTGTGTTGACGTCCCGGAGAAGTCTGAGCCCTACCTAGCCCACCTTTTCAGCTCTTCTTTCTCCAGGTTTTTGGCCTCTTTCAGTAGATGCACCATCCCATCCTTCTTGTGACTGACGCAATATACGGCGCGCCCCATTGAAAGCCCGTAGTGGGGCCTGATGTCACACCTGCGGTCGACCGATTGATTCAGCGTTGTAGCGGCCGATTGGTTGACGAAGTTTGGCCATGACAAGCCTCCCTGGGCGCTGGATGTGACTACCGTGCGCAACACTCATACTACATCGCCTGCACTCTATGTCTGCCTGATCGTCCGATCAGCGAAAAAACAGTTCCTTGTTTGTGGACGCAATCCTCCGAGCATCGCACTTGGTCTGCCTCTTTTTCAGAACGCTCGAGAACTTTGTGTGCACTACTGCCACAGGCTATACCCCACCCCGAGCTTGAAATTCCCGTGCAAGACACGGGGTCCCGACCCCTCAAAGTGACACGAATACAGAGGCACTCACCCAGGGAACAGGCAAGGGCGATTCTTGAGGCTGACCATCTGTTTCTCCTTGTGACTAGAACAGAAACGTGGTCGGCTAGTACCTGCGTACGTATGCCATCACGGGGGGCGGAGGCAATGACAAGGATAAATCGCGACGTCACCGGGCAGTGTGGTTAATTGTCATGATGAGTTTTTCCCCTCTCTCCCCGACAAATGCTTCACAGGGACAGTCCCCACACAGAAATACATTCGAAAAAGCCTTGAAGGATGCACCATCTGCCTGCAGTCGCTAATCTTCCGTACAGTCATTGCGTTTCAGCCTTTCCATTCCACCATTTTGCTTCAATACGACCTTCCGGTTATCAATGTTTTGGCGCAATAGTTGTTGGGGGCACTTCGAAAATGACCTTAAGGTCGCCGGAAACGATGCACCAACTTACCGGGGTCACCGTAGCTGGGCTGGATGGTGCAGTCAGGAGCCTCGCATTTCCTCCGGGCTGCGGCTGGTGAAAGCAAAAGGTATAGGGACCGTCGAAGTGTGTGGGGTCAAACATTATCAAACACGACACCGAGCTCGACGAACCATAATACCCGCACTCTGCTACTGAGCCGCTACCCTGCAGTTTGCCGACGTGCGACGATTGTTGCATGGAGTGGAATCATACCCTTGTTGGTCTAAGACAGCCGACTTGGGGCGCGCGCTGAGGTGGTGTTGCAGGCAAGCTGATCGACCGACATGCGCATACAAAAGAGGCTACGTGTAGCAAGGTGACCACATAAATGATTGTAACGTAACGCTCATCACAGGAGGAGCTTCGTACGAATTTCCGCTTCTCTGTTTACTGTGGAGAGAGAACCAGATAGTCCCCGGGAGAGAGAAAGGTAGACAAACTGTGCTCCCCCCCCCCCCCGCGAGGTCACTGGAATAATCGATTACTATGACAACTCTCTCTTGGCCCCACAAAGGACCAAGATTAGCCAAACGCGCAAAGTTGAACATAGAAATCGTTCCCGGGCAAACTACGCGTGCCGACCATTCTTCGGCCCGATAGCCCCGCGTACACCCCCGGAACATCGGGAGAGGTCGGACAGAAGTACGAAAAACCCCGATGGCCCACTAATCGCAGTCATGGAGCTACCAATATAACAGGTTTGGGAATGACGCTGTGCGCTGTGCGCCTGGGGCGTCAGAATGCACGGAGCAAAGGAGGTTTAGGTAGGGCCACCTGTAGGGGACAGGAGGCCTCGTCCTATCCAACCCGTACCACATACCACACACACGCGATCAACAACGGCGTCAACACTATCAGTGCCGGTGCCCGAGTCGGTTAGAAGCACAACGTCGATCCGCAGCGGCTCTTCGAAATACTTTTCGGAACACGACGACGATCGTTGTCTTACTTGTCGTGCTCGAGGGCAGCTTAGGGCCTTGAGGAGAGGAGGGGGCGGTGGTCACAGGAGTAGGGGCCGAGTCACGTGTAGCATCACCATGCGTTTCACCAGACCCTGCACCCGGTTCAGGCACGAGGCGAATACCGTTGGGAGATCCGGAGGCGCGTCAAAGTGGTCAGTCAAGCATGCCGAGGGAAGTCGTGAAAGGTGTACTACGCCAAGCTGCCCACAAATAGGCCGCATTTCGTAATAGGGCGAATCGCTACGATACATTCACATGCGGTTACTTCACTCTCCCACCTCCAGTAGCGGTACCATTTTTGTTGCTGTTGACGGATGAACTCGACCCAGCTTTCTCCCTGAAAGCTGCGCGACGGCCGCGACGGGACGGTGCCAGAGCCGTGTGGCGCATTTAGGGGAATGCAGGCAGGCACAGCGAAGCGGGTGAGGTGAAAAATGTCACTTTCGCTGGGCAAAGGTGGCCGTTAGCACGCCCTATTATTGCTGTGCCTGAGAGAGCACCTAACGCGGCGCGAGCCTTTCGCAATCGTGATTCCATCCACGTGTAGCTCCCTTCACTGCTTCGGCCCACCGCTACACCGCAAGTGAAACGGGCACACCACATGGACGCGAACACGACGATGGCAACAGTTGGAAGCAAGCACGAACATCATTTTGGTCAAATGCAAAAAAAGCCAAGACGTGTATGATACGTACCGCTGCCGTCACGGGTAGCCACCAGGAGCACGCCGTCGCGGACGGTGTACAGACCGGCTCTCTTGTGCGACTGGCACAACGTCAGGGGGCCGTTCTTACGACCGTACCGGGGAGTCCTGGTGCACCCGGTGTGCTGCGGACCGCGGCGTAGTGAGTGGCGAATAAGGTTGGTAGGTGGGCATGGCAATGCACGAAGGGGGGGAGGGGGCTCACTAAGCTCCCTTCTCCAGGCATTCGCGAAAATAGGCGGGAACAACGTGTGTGCAAGGGCTTCAATCTGCGCAGAAGACAACAAGAAAGGAGGTCGTGGCCGGATTCCCTCACCTTGCAGTATTCAGTCCTGGAAGCGACGGCCGGCTTCTTGTCTTCCGTCCGCGGTGGACTTATGACCCCGCCATCTTGGGGCAAGCGGCTTTCTTCGACCCCGCGCTCGCACCTGTGCAGCGGAACAGATCCAGAAAAGATGTGGTGGAATTTCAAGTTCAATATAGCAATGGAATCGATGGAGAGGTACAGCAGTTGGGCGTTGAAAAGCAGGGCTGACTTGCCCAGTACGTTACAGAGGATGATCGGCAGGAAAACACGAACACACACACTTCCGAACCGGGATCTTACGGCAAATGAGGATACAACCATAGGACACCTGCTGTGGATGTTCTTCGTTGACGGAAGCATTCGTGGGTGGTGCTGAAACTCCTGTAGATGCCTCTGCGCCCGTGCTTTGTAGGCATAGTATACCATTAGGACTTGCAGGAGTTGACGCACTGTAGCACGTGTTCATATTCTGGCATCTCGAGCGCAGAAATCTTGAAACTACATTGTAGTGTCGAAATTGTTTGGTAGCCCTCGAGGTACGTAGTTTTTTTCATCTCAGGGGTCAGTGCTCCGTCGCCTCAAAGTCTGCCCACACTGCATACGACGCCCCCGCCCGATGAAAGCATTTTCCCTTGAAGAAAAGCTCCGTCCAAAACAAGTGGTTCTGTGGCGGAGGAGGGTGTCCCCCACAAACATCGATAAAATACGTCAACTACTGCAAGTCCGAAGAACCACCTTCCCATAGCGTTCTCTCAACAATAACCAGATCCTCGCTCGCCAAGGATAGGGATGCTTTGTCATCTCTCGCACACGCCTCTGCCGCATCTACAGTACCCGTGAAGCGCACCGAACCGATTGCACATCGTCATGCTTGGCGAGCCTGACTTGAAGCAACTGCTTTCGAGGGCTCGAGCGTTCTTATGCCAATGCGAGGTCCATGCTGAAAGGTGCGCGCTCGCAACAGGGCTTCTTGCATATGCTATCTGATGGAAGACTAAAACAAACCCGGGCTGCAGTCGTTTTGGAGCGCCGAAACCAACTAGGACCTCTCACCAATAGCCTGTTTCAACATACACGGCAGCTCTTCTTGGCAATACTGCGGTCTACTCTCTCACCTTGCAAGTCCACGAGTCTCGGGGCCATCCTCAACAGGGAGCCCGTCCTCGTGTCCGTTGGGTGGGCGGGTTTCCGCAGGCGGAGTTGTCGAGAAAACAGTGGTTTGCAGTCGTCTTCTCCAGTCATCGCCTGATTGGACAGTGTGGAAGGGTCACCATCGTTAGTATGGCGTGCGAGGAGGGCGGCAGGCAAGAACAAGCATGTTACACGTATCAGTGAGGGCCGAGAGGGACGAATTCTATCCCGACCCTTTTGAGATGCTGGTCAAAAGCGACGACCTCATTCTCTCGGTTCCTCGACATAAACCTTTACCACTCACTTCGTTCCTTGATCACCTATTGCGGGGGAATGGATTTCAGTCAAAAGCGTTGCGGGTGGCCATCTAGGGCAATACAGGGATGAGAACGCTAACTCCCAACCTCGATCGCCACGTAGCAAAACGTCGGAACACGTCCAGCTGAACCTCGAATGTCACAGTAGAGAGTCCAAAACATCAGTGTCACCTTCTTTAGAGAATGTCTCTTCGTACGATCGTGCTACGGGGGGAGACATTGGCCCTGCCTTGAGAGCCGGGCCTGCATGGCCAAGATCTTCTTCACGAGCAGAGTCGCATGCAGCTGTAGACCACGCAGGGTAGGTGCCGCGACCTGTCAACAAGAGCACGCGTGCCCAAGCGGGACGCCGTGTTTAACGTGAGACAGACACGCTTCTTGTGACCGTGTCCGTGTCTCTCGGACTCGAAATGGCGAGATACGAAGCAGTCTGTGACCACGCCAGCCGCGACAACACTCCCGCGGAAATCACAGTGGATACCAAAGCCGTACAACACCTGTCGCCCCGGTGTATCGTTTGGCAACCTCGTCCTTCCTGCTGTCTGCACAGGTTGCATGTAGGGTATGTTTTCTCCAGCGTAAAAAAACCGCAGTGTGGGCGTGGATAGAGCGCACTCGTGAGCAATCAAAAGCTGAGGAAGGAACTGCTGAATCCTTCTCGCGTTCAAATTGTAGACCAGCACCGCAGGGGGGAAGGCGGAGCACAAAAATACTCGCGTGTTTATCTTTCCCCTGTGTGACCCCGGCTGACGTGCTGTTGTCACCTACACATAAAAAGAACGTTCTGGTCTCTGCTCGTGCCTTGAAACATCCATACTGATCCACCCGGCCTTGGTTCCTTCCATGGGCACAGGCTACCACCCCCAAATGGTAGCACATTTCAGTAAGAACAAACAAGAGACATCACGTTTTCGTCTCATCAGATACAGCTAGTGCCCGCACTTCAATTGAGAACCTCTACTGTTGGTCGAGGCTCTTCTTGTGGGCTACAAATGGCCGCAATATAGGTTTACTGTAGGGTTCTTAACCGGGCTTACGAATGGATAGTAAATTATAAGGGGCTCCTTGCTCACAATCGGTGCCCAAGTGCTCAGGATTTGAGTTCTTCGACGCACGTTACATCGAAGTTTTTCTGAACTGCCAATTTTTGAAGTGCCAAGGGCGCTGCAACGACTGTATGACCCTTAGGAAGCACAACCTCATGAAAACCAAAATGAAAAAGTCTTCAGAAAATCATAAACAGCAAAATTCCCAAACCATATTCAGTCAGACCTCACCGCCGTACGTGACATGCAGGGAAAACAACGTCAACAGAGAAAAGGGATCGATTCACACACAGAGCCAACAATTCCCGCTCGGCAACCGAAGTCAATCATAACTACAAGCAAAACTGAAACCCAGAATAAATGAGACCAAATCAAAAACGTACACATATTTTACCACTGTAGCATACCACATAGTCTACACACAGCTTACGGATCCAGTGTTGGTACATGGAGCCGTTTGCTGCAGTTCGTTATTGGCATCATGAATCCCACGTGAAATCACCCTCACCCACGGAAGATATGCACACATTATTTGCAAAATTGTCGAGTAAAGGCAGTATTCTTATTTTGTTCGTAACACTACTAATATCTGAATGTTCTGAGTTCTGAACAGACGTACAGTAGTGTAGTCATCTGCGTATCGTTCGATGGTTGAACGCTGTCCTTGGTTGGCATTGGCACTGACGGAAGCGCGGGGAATGCATAGGACCACGAAGGTAGCAGCACGGCCGGCCTGGGTGCGGTGAAAGCTGCACCGTGAGCTCTATGGTCTACTGTACATGCAATGGTTCCGGGAAAAAACTCAAGGAGGGAGAAAAAAAACAAAAAGAGGCTACAGGTACAATCTATTCTTTGCGTCCGAACCAGCGCTGTTATAGCCAACTAGCCGAGCGGCATGAGAGTCCTCGGCGGGCCTATACAGTAGTAGACTAACCTTCGGGGTCTAGCGTGACACGACGTGCAGAGGGTTCGTGCGAGTTGCCGCTTGTAATGCCGTACGTAGCAGGTGTCTCTTCACCAGCCGGACCCGACGACGTCGAACGGTCAGGGTCAGGGCGGAAGGGTCGTCCCATCAGCCTATCCGGCTCGTCCTGACTGGGCATTGAGACTTTGAAAACGTTGTCGTCGTGCACGCCTGTGTGAAGGGAACTCGTACAGCGTAACTATTTGTACCACTGCTGTAGCTGGCCTAGTGTCGAGGCTGGAGAACCAAACGACGGGAACAAAGCAACGGGGACAGGGATAGCGAGGCTGGGGAAGTGCTTTTGGGAGAAAGCGGCCGTCGGAAAACACGCAAAATCGTGACCAGCCTTGGTGGGGCATCCTACCGCCAATGAGTATGCGTACACATGCGTGTGACTGGACAATTTCCCAACAGGGCGACTGGGTACACTGTCTATAATAATAGTGCATACAAATAGTCTATATACCGTGGTACGTACGTAGTTCGGGGGATGGCTTCCAGAATACAATTGCTTTTTGGTGCTGCCTGTCCAGTGTTGAATTTCCAACAAATGATACACCTGCTGGGCGTTGCACACCTGTTGATCGGTCATGTATTCATGTCTTGTATGCATACGGTACTTACCAGCACTGATGAACTCTTCGCAAATTTGAAGAAGCCCTAGACAGCGAAAATCAGACTCTTGCAAGTTTGGGCATGGCGGTGGGGTTGGGGACTCGAGAGCCTCATCCACTCGCTCTTTGAGTTTAGGTACAGGTCGGTACGTGCCGTGTCTGCACACATAGTACAACACCACGTGCAGCAACTTGGCTCCGCCGTACAGCTGGCTATCGCCTCCTCCTTGAACCACACTTTTTCAATCTACATGTAGTCGATCGACTGGAGTGGTACTGTAAGCAGAGACGAACGCACAAGTGAAGACAATTTTTTTTGTGATGAACCTACGTACGTCCACAGATGGGCGAGCACGAGCCGGGCACGGGCCGGGAATCAATCGTGGTACACTGCGTCACACTTTCGCGGGACGTAGGGTTGGATCTCCAAGGGGATGGTTAAGTGTGTTGGACAGGTCTAGCACAGCGTGCTGTACGTGCTGCTGACTCTGTCACTGCTGGAGAGGCACAACAAAAATCACCCGCTTTGTAGCGGGCAATCGGGAGCAACTAACTCCCGAAGACGTGCGCACAGAAGCAGTAGCACAGGACAACGGCGGGCTGTCGGGCCTCGCTCTCTGCGCATAATAAAAAACCGGAGCAAATTAAGATGGAGGCGGTGTGGGTCTATCCCTGCCTGCGTATATCATCATCCAAGTCGCCGCAGCAGCCTGCAGCCTGATGAGAACATATTATTCGCCTGCTGTTCTGCCGACCACGCAGAGCCGACCACGCAGGACGGAGTAAGAAACGTAACTGGTATGATACCGTGCCAAAACGAAAGGGGCCAAGGGCGGAAAGGACGGAGCAAATACATGTCTTGTCTGCTCAAACTAGAACTGCATTTCGCTAATTCCGCTCCTCCACGCGGTGCAACGGATAGATTTCCCCAATATAGAGCCTGAGAGCATAGACCGCGGTACACAGATCGACGTCAAAAACCAGTTTTCGCCCCCACCCCTTTTCTAGGCGTTGGAGACGGACCTGCTTGTTTCTTTTCAACCTGAGAGGGTCGTCGGAAGCAGAGATCAGCAAAGCTGTGAAGCCGCGCGTGGGCTGCCAGGTAGGTGTCGCTGTAGGTTGGATGTATTCTTTGAAGACCTCTGTCGGTGCGGATGTGTTTGACCGTGTCCTCGGGCGTAGCTGAAAGTCACGCGAACAGAGGCCCAGACAGGAGACTGGTATGGAGAGGGGGGCCGCACATTCAAATTCCATCAGGTATGACGGTGAAACAAGAAAGATGGAATGAAAACAGCAGGGCACTCGCAAATTTCTATAATAACATGCCTACCAAGTGCCTACCATGGTGTTTTTGTACTGGCAGCACTCCTGACAGCTGTACGCTGTAGTCGACAAACATTCATTTTGGTAAAGTGTGGGACAGGGGGGATGATGCTGCTGTAGTCGAATGTAGTGTGTGGACGGGTAGTTCAGTTTTGGGCACGCAAACGTGCTGCAGGGATGTATTGGTGTACCTCTTGGGTCGGGCTTGTGTACCCTTTTCTTGCTAGTTTGCGTGTTCTTTAGATCTTCTGGTGGCTCTAGCATTTTTGTGACCACGGACCGCGTCTTTGCTAGACTTTGGGATCAGCAACTGACACGAGTTCAATGTCAAGACAACAACAAACAACAACAACAACAGGAAAAAATTAAGGTTCCGGGTTCCGGTTCAGCAACTTCGGCAGAAAGAAATAAAGATCCAGAAAAGAGGGGGGAAAAGTTACTTGTCAGATTTCCTTTTTGGTCAACCCCCGCCCGCCCACCCTCACACTCCACACACGAAATGAAAGACAGAAGGGGGACACACGCCACCACCTTGCTCCACCACCGCGTTGTTGCGCTGGTCGTTGTCGACAAAGGGGACCAACGTCTTCATGTGCCAAATCTCGATCTCGGATGAACCGGGTTTGGAAAATAGAAGATGTTTCTTTTGTTGGAGACGCAGGAATCAGTGAGATTTTTCGAAGAAAGCGCATTATTATGTATAGTATCGGCGAATTGTATGAGAGGCACATGCTGCCGCCCCGGCCATTTCCATCCAATGGAGTTTTTGGTCGACTTCCTCCGCAGTCTCCTTTTGGCGAAGGAAGACTCCATAGGGTATAACCACAGCAGTATGCGCGACAAACTCATGAACGGACGATGTTGGCAATCGTGACTCTTGTAGAAATAAATAATCGTGGATGATGAATCTGCCGCATCCTTTCGGAAGCAGCTCCTTCCTGTACCAATCAACACTCACTGCTGCTGTTTCCCGTACTTTAGATTTTATTTGGGATGATACTGTAGTGATCACAACGTACAGTGCGCCAAACCTAATCCGAGATTGTCGTCGGGGGCAACAACAGGTCAGGTGCAACACCGATCCCGCTCCTCCCAGCATAATATCTGGCTTTATTGCATGTTTTATGTTACGAAAAATCAAAACTGTTCGGGCCGGCACTCATTCATTTCCTCGCACCAGGTTCTCTACGTTGTTTCCTCGTTCCCTCGCCCTCCCGGCTTCTCCAGAAAGGCAAGGCGTCGTTTCAGTGGGAATGGGGCGGGGCTTGTCAAGAAGAGGTCCTTGCTCTCGAAAGCGTCACCATTGATCTAAAGTGCTCTTCTTCTTGGTGATGTCAAGCGCTTGCCGAGGGCAGACCAAGCAGGAGGTGCCGCGTCCGTCGCAGACGCAGCGGCCGTCCTTAGCCTCCAGCCAACAACATACATACAATACGTAGTTACAGTGTGTAGCGTCCTCGTCTTTCCCAAACGCAACCCCGGTCCCGCTAATGCGAGGCCGTGCGGGGGGCGTCCATGCTTGGAGACTCCATACCGTGGCGTCGCCTTCTCCTGTGGCCTTCGTCGACGCTCGTCATCACCCGCTTCATTAATACTTTTCTCCGTCATCGTCACCTTCAGGCGAAACTTTCATCACCGTCGAGATTCTGAGTTTCAGTGTTGTGTGTGTTATATGGTTTAATATGTGTGTATGTTGTGTGTGTAGGTGTATGTGTTCAATATCGCCATTCATTGTGCGGGGATACAGGGCGATTCGTCGCGTTCCTTTTCCCGCCCTCGATTTTTTTTTTTATTATGTCCTGGAGCAATTAGTGTTGCTTATATATATGGGCTACGTTGGGCTACGTCGGTTGAAAGGTTTGTCGCAGGTCTAGCCGTAGTCGGCCCTGTTGATCGTTCACTCTATCTCTCTAAGTAGTCATGCCTTCCTTACCACCAGCAAAATCAACTTTGTCACCCTGAGGTGGTGCACCTGCCGTGGCTTCCCATTGTATTGCTCCTTTTGCTTGGGTTTTGAAGTTAATATTTTGTTGTTGTTGGCGTCTTCTGGACTCTTTCGGGTAGTCACTCTCATTCCTCCAGTTGAGATACGCGCCCGTGCGCGTAAAAGAGTGGTGTGTGGCGTTTTGATATTGATTTTGTATTGTCATCTATGTTAATAATGTGCTTTGCAGCATTTTCTTACCTAGCCATATCCCTTTTTATGGGTAATAGCATTTTTCATTGAGCCGCACTTGTATTGTCAATTTGGTTATGCAAGCTTTGTCTCAATGGTGGTGTGGGGGGTAGATTCGGGATATTTCTACAGCTCCCCTTTCCTTTAGATGATATTGTGAAGAGTCATATATTTCGATTCAGGAGTATTAATCATCAGCTCTTCTGGATCGAGCTTATTGGATTTGAGTATAGAATCTGCATAGATGATCTTCAGCGTGGGCTAGTGTTAAGGAGTGTTGCTGTAGGGCCTAGATAGGGTACATCTTAGTCTAGTATAGGATGTGGGATGTCCGTGAGGTATACCTCTCAGGGACCATACCACATCAAAACTCAGCTATCTGCGTGCCCCCTGGTTGCTAGGAGGATCCCCTCCTCAATCAGACCTTCCTCGCTCTCAATTCAAGCAACATCTCATTACTACACAATCGTGGAGACAAGGCATCAAGCGACCGTACCTCTTGCTTTACCCTAGGACCCAGCTGCTTCCAACAGCTGGACCTCCTTTATACTATACCGGTATGCTGCTGTACAATCCTGAGTACCTGCAAGCTATGACAGCGTGTATGTATGTAGTCTACATGTCATGTCTCTGACTGTAGGACGGTATTACTGTATGTACAATATATTGTAGATAGAGCCCTGCTGTTGATGCTACGCGGACACCTACTGTATGTATACAACACGGACGACAGCAGTGCAGTAGTTCACTAAGGTGAGGAACGGCAGCCGCCCCTTCTCATTTGAAACCTTCGGTGGAGCTTGCATTGTTCGGAAAGAACGAGCGATCGTCCAACTATGACCCGAGATCATTGTGATACATAAGGATCGCACGCCGGGAGGTCACCACGTACGTACAGTCATAGACCTACAGAGTGTGGATCGACACGCCTCGGTGGAATAATTGTGCTGCGAATTCCTCCGGGTCGATACTCTCAACCCAATTCTTCGCTCATAATAATGGCAATCGCCAAACCTTAATACCCCACTATCCGTGCCATACATATGCATAGCTGTAGAATTCTATCCAATTTCTCGTGGGAAAGAGTGAATAGTTTGGCCGAGCCCCCCCGCGCCTCGCGACGACAGGCTGCGCTACTCACTCTTGCCATACTTGCACAACATCGTGGACCACCACATACATGCTGCATGTGCTTGATTGAACGCGGTGGTTGTCCTCAGAGATCAATAGTTGGTACTTATTCTGTACGCTGGGAGCAAGAAAACAATCAAGAAAAAAGTGAGGAGATGATGCCACAGCCCGAAAACCACATTCATTCTGCTTGAAGACTGTAAATATGCCATCGTACGAAAAGAAAAAAATGTTCTCCCCAAACAAACCTGAAAAATAATTAATTAAAATCAGACACCCCATATATAAAATATATGTTCCCAAACCTGAAAAAAAATTATGAAAAAGTAGAATCACACCCCCCATATATATATATGAACAGTTATACATATATTTGGGCTGGCCCTTCGACTCAAACAAAGGAAATGACCCCCGGTCTGATATTGACATTATTTCTTATTTGCGGCCCCGCCACAATATTGTTATATGGTGTTGGAGCCTGACCCACGGTCTTACGAACGGCCGGAATGTACCACCACGCTGTAGAAATGTGTAGTTTCGAGGTGCCCTGTACCCAAGGGTCGTGTCTGCAGGCGGTTAAGCCTTTTTTGCAGTTTCCAGACAGACGTCTCTGTGTGATGTTCAGACCGAAGTCCGAAGTCTGTTCAGACCAAAGTCATCTGTTGAGACAATGACCGAAGTCGATGTTGTTCCTAACTGCCGCTTCTGGGACTTTTACTTCTTTTCAGTCTTCTTCATTTCACAGCTTTCTTGCAGAGTTGAGATGTTGAGGGATAGTTGGGGAGCAAGCCCGGTGGGGCTCGCAACACCTTATGATCCCGCTACAAGTACAATCCTCTGATCAACCATCAATCAATTCATTCTTGATCTCCTCGTTAGACTCGTCCCTACATGTTACGTTCTACTAAACGTCACTGTTCATACAGCAAATACGTATCATCATTGAAACAGCAGTTTCTCTGACGCTATGAAATCATTGCTAATCTACGTATCTTAGACTCGTTTCTTAGACGGAGATGGATTCGTTGGGTGAAATCAAGAAAATGTAAAATCATTCAGCTGCATCTATTCTACTGCACACATCTCACAACAGCAATAATGCGCTGTATTTCTTTGAACACACCCACATCCTCGATTTATACAATTCGCCGCCGAATCCTCGACAACCATTCATTCACGTTCGTTCATGGGTGGTAGGAATGGATCACATACTCCTATCGACAGTGCGTTTATTCAGCCAAGAATTTTCACCACCGATGTATAAAGAATGAAAGTTTGGACTTCAGAAGAATGAATGACAGCGAAGATACAATAAATGGTATTCATTCGATAATTAGTGTAGATGTAAGCACGTGGTTAATAGTGTAGACGTGTAAGCAGTGGTTAAACTCACCATGTCTCAAAATTGTGGGGCAAATCTGAGTGAATATGTATTGGTAAGAAGATGCTGCTCCCGCAAGGATGTGGC